TCCCGCTCCATGTGGCACTTCTTAACTTCACCGGTCACACCTGAACCATGCTGTCGACTTCTTCATCGTGAGAGCAGGTTCTTGTCCACGCACACGTGAGTCGAGCTCTCACAGTCCCAGTATCCCACGAGCTTGTAGTCCCAGCGTCGTGCTTCACAACCATCCCAACCATTAGGAAGTCGTTATCTTCTTCGTCCTCAGCATCGCTACTTTGGCTGTCTACAAAGGGTCGCTTGATATCAGGCTCGTTCGGGTTCAGGATCAACATGCTGCTCTGCACACCGGACCTGTCCTTCTTGCCATCATTCTTCTTTTTTGACCTCTGCTCCGTATTCTCGACTTCCTCATTGCCGTCCTCTGTCACCTTCTTCTGCCTTTGAAGTAGTGCCAGCAGTCTCTCTTCAAGTAACCAGATTATCTACAGTGATAGCATTTAAAATTCCCCCCCGCCACCCTTGCCTTTCTTCTGCTCCTTGGCAGGCAGGGAGCCCGAAAATGCAATACTAAGATTAATACATCGATGTGAGCTGAGTAAATTAATAATTCAATTATTTGCATTATTCCGGTCCATACTCGAGCGTACCTTGTCCACCGCACTAGTCGCGATTGTAGTTCAGAAATATTATCATTTCAAGCCTGGCTGGAGACATTCGCTTCCGTAGATCAGACAGCACCAGCTTAGCAAGAAAGAAGAAGCGCTCACACTCGTTAGACGTTGGCGGGATGTACGCGACGTCAACGTAGTGCGAGCGCTTCACGACCTTGCGTTTCTTGAGCGCTGCTCTCACAATAGAGCACTCCTCGGCGACTCTTGAAGACGACCGTTCGAGATCAGGCGACCTAAATTCAGCGCAGGCTAATTTTTCCGCAACGTTTAGCGCCTCCCCACGCTGTAACTTGACCAGACCTTGCTCTATATTAAGCTCTATGTAATAGGCCGTCCGTTTCAAAGGTGAGGAGGCCTTTTAAAGCGGGCGCGCCACGCGTCCTCCTCGCCATTAACATCCCTCGGCAATGTGTTTACTTATTAAGTTTCCTTAAGAAGTAGGATGTTTGAACCTTTTCTATTGGCTACATATTTGACCAATTAAGGTGCATTCTAACACTCCCACTAAAAGTTCAAGCACATCCTCCTTTTCACTTCTGTGGTCTCATATGACTCGCCTTATCCTTAATCCAATTGCGACTTGTCCAGCAGAAATACCATACGACCTTTCGTACTTTTGGGCTACTTCTGGTTTTCCTAATAGTGAACACACTCTTTCCTATCCTGTTTTGATCACATATGATCTACTTTATTCTAAATCAAGTTGCGACCTTTTGGAGATATCATGTGACCTTTCGTTGTGGCGACTTTTCACACATCCGGTGATCCAAAATAGGTGGCTCCTAAATGTTGCGACACCTGAAATTTGTGACGTTCCATTACACATACCTATTCCCTTAATCCAGAATTTGTGACCCAACCAATTTTCCTTTTCCGATTTCCCGATGGTTTCTGCCTCTAAATTGCACCTCTACCTTTTTTGTCTTTGCTGGAACCAATTTCCTTCAATCCATTCACTCTCAAATTTGCGTTCAGCATTCACGGTTCGACTTAGCGCCTATGGCCGCTATTAAACCCTCCGGGGGGGCTATGACAGTCAAGCAAAACGTCCAGGCTTCGGTCTGTGATACCACCACTTCCAGAGACTGGGGAGCGCTTCGGCATTAGTTCCAATTAAGCACGGCTGGGGCTTGCCCCTCCCTTCCTAGATGCGGTCAACGGTGGCTCTTACTTGATTTCAGCACGTTATCGTGTTCTGTCGTAGTCTAGTCCATAACCATTGACATGTGAACGTCTGAGAGTTAACCAATATCATAACGTTACGTCTTATTGTTTTTTTTTTTTTGCTTTAACCGCATAAGTCTTTTCCTTGGTGCACTTCAACTTAAGAGTATCTTTCGCCCTTCAACTTGAGAAGTATCTTTGAACTTCAACTTGCGCCGGGCGCTTGGATATGCCACATGGTGGCTCTTCAACTTCACTGTATCTTGTGATACACGGTGTCAGAA